ATTAGTTTATTAACTTAAAGAATTACATTTGTTTATTAACTTAAAGACTACTTTAACACTTTTTCCGCAACTTAATTATTCAATTTTTCTAAAATCGTATAAAACAACAGTCCCACAAAACCGACCATTCAGATTCGCCATTTTCCGGACAGATTGTAGATAGTTGTTAGCATCAAAGTTGGACGCAATCCACGTAATCCTAACCAATGGAACAAACTTTATAAATAAAGACAACATGAAATTGGGGCATCACACTCAACTTTTAGGTTTATAGGTTGTCAATGAAGACTAGGATCACACCTGCAGTCTACAGATGACAACTCATAATTAATAAAGATGGCATTTGCAGCATCATTTCCTCTTTTCTTTTTTTCATACAACAACAAAGAAGAAAGTGCAAATTACCCACCGGTTCTTAGAGCATTCACATCTGTAGTTTATTTAGGGTTAATATCAAAACAATTATGTTGGGTGGGGTTAATAACAAATGTGAGGTGTAGTTATTTGAGAATATATTTGTCCTGCAAAACACAAAATAATGTCACAAAAAAAAAAAAAAGAAGAAAGAAACAGATGTTATGCGCGTTTGCGCACAGCCAAGTGCCACACAGGCACGTGCATTACATGCGCCTGCGCCTGACCAGTCTTTATTTTATTTATTTATTATTTATTCATTTATTTTTTTTTTTAAAATCACTTTTCTCTTTTTTTTTTTTCTCTCCCCTCCCACATTCTCTTTCCTAATCACTCTTACATTATCCCCCATTCTCCCCAACTGATGCGGATGCTCTTAATCATAATCAGAACCTTTCGATTCGCTTATTACAATGCTCGATTCAGTTCGAACCGAATCGTGGTCATCCCTATATATAAATAATAATTTGTTAGAAAGAAAATAAATGAATATGTATTTTAAGAGTAAAAATGTCCATTTAATATATCAAGGAGAAACTCATCACTTTTAAAATAATTGAGGGGCTAATATGGATACATGAATAATTCAGGGAGAAAAAGTATTATAAGCACATAATTCAAGAAGAAAAAGTATTATAAGTACATAATTAAGGAAGAAAAAGCATCATTTTCCTTAACTTCATATTCTTTTGTCTTTTGGTGCGTTTTTTTCCTTCTCCCATAGCACTTTTTTCTTCTTTGAATGCATATTTTTATCTCTTTTAGAGCATAGTTTCTCCCTTTAGTGCACATTGTTGTGTCTTGTAGTACACATTGTTATGCTTTTCAGTGCACATTATTGTGCCTTCCAATACAAAATTTTTACCATTGCAAATTTCTCGAACACGTTCTGTTTTACGTTTTCATTCTCCTCATGCAAAGCTCGTTTATGATTTGTGTTGAAGATCATGTATTGATAATTGATCAGAAATTAAAGACCAACATACAAATTAGTAAATGACATTAAATTGACATACTAGCAAAACATTGTTTATTATATCTTTTGCCTTGGATGATTTAATTTTGTCTTTTCAATAACTAAATTTCTAATGAAATTTGTGAGTTGAACAAATCAAAATGTACAAAAAATTTATGAATAATACTGAAGATGAATAACTCCCCTGTTTTGTATCATAATTACTTTGATTGTACATCTTTATGCCTTGTAATGTGTATTGTTATCTTTCAGTGCATATTGTTATACCATCCATTGCACATTTTTTTTAAAAATTCAGTTTATCTTGACTAAAACAATGACAATATATATATATATATCAGTGTTGTAAAACTCGGCCGCCTAGCCGCCTAGGCGCCCGCCTAGGCGCTAGGCGGCCACTTGCCTTGGAGTTTTGGCCTATAGGCGGCCAAAACTCGGTCGGCGGCCTGGGCGGCCGCTAGGCGGCCTGGGCGGTCAAACTCGGCCGAGTCGGTCAACTCGGCCAACTCGACCGAGTCGACCGATTTCGTCCGATTTTGACCGTTTTGACCGATTTTGATCGATTTTGTCTGATTTTGACCGATGTCGTCTTTCATTAATTATTGATTTTAATATTATTATGACATTATGACTTATAAATTATCATTATTTCATTTATTTAGATGTGTTATTTGAGTGAACGTTGAAAACAACCTCATTAAAATTGTCGAACTACAAGTCTGTCACTATTTTTTTTAATTTTTTTTGTGCCCGCCTAGCGCCGCCTAGAATCCGCCTAGGCGCCGCCTAGACCACTTAGGCGCTAGGCGCTGCCCGGCCGCCCGACTAGCGCCTACTGCAACCTTGATATATATATATATATATATATATATATATATATATATATATATATATATATATATATATATATATATATATATATATATATAAAAGATTTAAGGGTACTAGGATAGAGTAAGAAGGGGATGGAGGGGGACCATTACGGCATTACCCCCAATATCCCCCTCCCCTATATATAAAGGGGTGGCGGTGGAGGTAACCCACCCCTCCTATATATAAAAGATTTTAAGGGTAGAGTAAGAAGGGGGGGGGGGGGTGGGAGGGGAGTCACTACCCACAATGCCCCCTCCCCTATATAAAGGGAAGGGGTGGCGGTGGAGGCAACCCACCCACCCCTCCTATATATAAAAGATTTAAGGGTAGAGTAAGAGGGGGGGTGGAGGGGGGCCATTACCCCCAATGCCCCCCTCCCCTATTATAAAGGGGTGGCGGTGGAGGCAACCCACCCACCCCTCCTATATATAAAAGATCTATATATAAAGGGGTGGACCCACCCCACCCCTCCTATATATATATAGAGTAAGGGGAGTGGTGGAGGGGCAACTACCTACATGCTCACCTCCCCTATATATAGAGTATAATGGGAGGGGGTGTCAACTACACCACCCCCTTCCCCTATATATATATATAGTAAGAGGAAGGGGGTGCCCACCTTTCCATCCACCCCTATGACATCAGTATCAGTACGTAAATATAAAGAAGTTATGTGGATGTAAATGGAAGTGTCACTATGGCATTTGCAGCGTCATTTCCTACGTACAACAACAAAGAAGAAAGTGCAAATTACCTATTAAAGTCCACAAAGCCGACCAAAAAAGTAGCTTTGCACTGTTGTTGGAAACCTGTCAGCAATCAAACAAAAGCAGAAGCAAAACTAAATATGAATTCCTTCCTCCACACCACAAAGTAAAGTGGGCTTCAATTCATTCATTTGTCTATGAGGGTAGAGTGAGAGAGATAGTAACCATGATAGCGGCGATGGCGATGCTGCAGAGCTGGGGAAGCGCTGGCACCGCGATTGCCAGCTTCCTCTTCATGTGGGACATGATTAGGCGACACCTCCCGCCCGAGCTGCTTCGCGTCCTGGAAAGATGGACGCGCAAGCTCAGGGTCTTTTTCAATCCGTACGTTCAAATCTCGATCAACGAGTACATGAGCCGGAATCTGAAGCCTCATGATGCATATGCAGCAGTGGAGGCTTATCTCAGTGCCAATTCAGTGAAAGAAGCCAAGAGACTGAAAGCCGAGATGATTACGGGTGCAGACAAGCTGGTGTTGAGCATGGATGAGAATGAGAAAGTTAATGATGAGTTCCATGGGGCAAAAGTGCAGTGGATTTCTGGGAAAATTGAGGCGCGTCAAAGGGAACACTATCCCGAGATAGATAAGAGATATTACAAGCTAATTTTCCATAAGAAACATCGGGAGATGATCACGGGGCCCTACTTGGACCATGTAGTAAGGACGGGGAAAGAGATTCAAACACGATACAAGAAGCAAAAGCTTTACACGAATAGCCACAGCAAGACGACGTGGAGCCATATCGTGTTTGATCATCCAGCTAGCTTCGAGAAGCTGGCAATGGATCGAGAGAGGAAGCAGGAGATAGTGGAAGATTTGATTACTTTCAGAGAGGGCAGGGAGTTTTATGAAAGAATTGGCAAAGCATGGAAGCGGGGCTATCTACTCTATGGCCCCCCAGGAACTGGGAAATCGACTATGATTGCTTCAATGGCAAACTTACTGAATTATGATATCTATGATCTCGAGCTAACTTCTGTGAGGGACAACACAGATCTGAGGCGGCTATTGGCAGAGACAACTAGTAAATCAATAATCGTGATTGAGGACATTGACTGCTCAATTGATCTTACTGGCAAAAGAAAGAAAATTTTAGAGAAGAAAGCAGAAGGGGGCACTGAAAAGAGCAAGAAAGAAGCTTTCTCCAAAGACACTGAAGACAGTTCAAGCAGAGTCACTCTTTCAGGACTACTGAATTTCATAGATGGTCTATGGTCTGCCTGCAGTGGAGAGAGAATAATTGTGTTCACTACTAACTATGTTGATAAGCTGGATCCAGCACTAACAAGAAGGGGAAGAATGGACAAACATATCGAGCTATCTTATTGTAGTTTTGAGGGATTTAAAGTGCTCGCAAGGAGCTACCTGGGATTGGAATCACATCCCTTGTTTGAATCAATCGAATTGTTAATGAAGGAGACTAGGATCACACCTGCAGATGTTGCTGAGAACCTCATGCCCAAATCGCGCAAGGAAGTTGCAGAGAGATGCCTCCAGAATCTGGTTCAAACTCTTGAACGAGCCAAAGAAAAACAGAGATCAGACAAAGGCAAAGAAGAATTAGAAGACAATGAGGCAATAAAGGAAGACAAGTTGGAAGAAAAACAAGAAACTAGAAATCCAGATGAAACAATTGAGTTGAATGCTGTGTAAAATAGGTCTCACCTTGTCTGTTTGCCTTGAGAACCAGAATAAAATGCTCCAAGCAGAATATCAAATGCCTTTGAGCCCATAAATATTTTCTGGAAAGTTTATTTGATTGCCTGACTTGATATTCAGTAGAGTACAATTTTCTTTAAAGCTGATTGGCAAAAATATTAAGCTTGTTTATTACTGTCTTTTCCAATTAAAATGCAATGTATCCACATCAACTTAGACATCATCTTCATCAAGTTTTCAACCACCCAGGTGGAGGGGGTGTCCAGTGAAAAAGTAAAAGCGGATATATATATATATATATATATATATATATATTTCTTCTGAAATTCATTTGTTTGTGACAAACATTATCAACAGGCAACAACCCATGAACTTGTGATGTAGCAAATCTTGTACCACAAGCCCAAGCATAACACACATAAACAAAAAAAAATAATAATGGATACATAGTACAAAATGTCTTATAACCTCTTTCAAGTGTTGTGGAGCATTCTGTAATGTTCATCTCAGCAATGCTTGGGAGTAAAACCTTCTTGTCCTGATTAACAATGCCAAAGAAACTAGACAACCAAACAGGCTTACTGATGCCAATATAAAATAGGATAACATGAAGCATTTAGTCCCATAGCAAGAATTCCCAGTTCCTGATGCCTCTTTATCATATATATACCCAATTACTCTGACAGACAGTAGATATGACCCAACAGGACTGGCTATGGCGATTGTATTGAATATAGTACCCATATGCAGAACTCCGAATATCTCTTTGGTTATGGTAGGCATCAATGACCATTGCGAACCATAGCAAATGCCAACTACTAGGGAACCCACGTATAAATTTAAAGGGAAACCAGAGGCAATGGTGATATGGCCAGCAGTCATGGCTGCTAGTGTGAGAACGATGAAAACTGGCCTTGGGCAACCTCTTCTCAGCAGAAAAATGTCCGAGAGATATCCTGCTCCAAGACGACCAAGAAAATTCCAAATACTCCATAGTGAAACTAATGTACTTCTCTGCAGTGTTGTGTAGCCAAGTGATTCTCCTATCTGGCTGATGTTATTTATTGTGGCAAGTCCTGAGCCCATTCCACATACCATAGCAACAAACAACAGCCAGAAGTTGATGGTGCCCATGGCTTGCAATAGATTAATTTCTTCTACAGCCTGTGGCATAGAGCTGCCCTTGCGTTTTATTGTATCGGTGGGCACTTCTTTAACATCCATGAAATTTCCTGCTGCCAATTTCTCAGGTTCATTTAACAATGGAGTTGTTGCATTAGTTGTACCCCATGAGCTTTCTTTTTGGGCTTCGACGGCAATGCCAAGAGGTGAAAATAGTAGAACAAAGAGCACTACAAATGTAAGAATTAATACCCATTGTGGGAAGATGAAGATGTCCTCCAAGAGCCTTAAAGACAGAAGATATGTTGCAGCAATCAATGAAATAATCAAGAACTTATTCAAATGCCTCTCATCATTGCCAGGAGGTGTCTGATGGACTCTCACCAAGCACATGAGCAGAAGGCTAGTTAGAGTTGGCAATAATGAAAGCATCAAAATAAATGCTCTTGGGTTGTTGTTGAATAATGTCTGAGACACTTGTATTAGTATTGCTCCACTCAAGCCAAGAAAGCCCTGGCCAAGAAAGAGCATAGAAGATATTATAGTTCACATATCATTTGTCATTTTTCTTCAAGTAGTGATAAATAATGAATCGAAAATTACTACATATACAGTAATTGGCAACAAGAAGAAGTATAATAATCAAACCGGCAACAAACAAAAAAGTGCCCCATATTTATTTCAAAAAAAAAAAAAAAAAAGTGACAGCATATTTTTTTTCCTATAAAGTATAGAAAGCCAATAAACTTGGTGATAGCAGGGATTTAAGTATAGAAAGCCAAAACTCTATGCACCTGGACAGGAAAACAGCAACTATACAAAGTACTGTTCTTACTTAAGCCAGAATGAAATGTCGGTCACTTTGAAAAACAAGCATTTCTTATCCGGAGCAAACAATCATACAAAAGACAAGCATTTCTTATCCGGACCAAACAATCATACAAAAGTTTGCTTCTCTGAAACGAAAGCTCAGCCACCAAGTTACAAAAGGTTGGACGCCACCGGTACCTATAACCGAGTGAATCCAAAGTGGACCGAACATGCTCTAATACCACGTTATAATCTAAAAATAAGCTAGAGTCACTCAATTGGGCTATAATGCACATGAGCCAAACCACGCTAAAAGATTGAATCCAACCAATCAGCTCATCTAACCCATGTCCTTATAAACCCATATATTCTCTCTTATTTTATTTTATTAACACTCTTGTATTCAATTAACCTAAACTTTGGATTCTTCCTACTGTCTGCATACAATGACCTGGCTTTATGGCAACAATAATCTGAATGAGTATCTGATTAAGCTAATGACTCAGCTTGATGGGTCACCTCTTCCACTCTGTTACGTCTTTTAAAGTATACGTTTTTAGGTGGGCAAACTTATATTAAGAAGATGCTTAATCCTATCATACTTTAGTTTATAAGAAAATAGCACCAACTAAGATTCAGTTTTATAAATGGATTTTCAGCTCAAAACAGGACAACCACTTTGGAAGATTTTCAACCAAGAAAAATATGGCCATTTAATTTAAACCACAGAAAACAACCAAACAATATTCATGAATCATGACTAACAAGTCTATTTCACTAACCAACTAGCAATAATAGTTACGATACCATAAAATTGCTTCAAGCAATAATTTACAGTGGAAAACACAAAAACATATATACCTACCGAGAAAAATTAAATTGTTTCGTGGATCCAAAAATTAACCGTTTATCAGGGAATTGAACAAAATAATTAAATTCACCGAGAAAAATTTAGAAAAAAGAATGGTGAAAATGGGGAATTGTCTTTTACCTTCATGATTCCCACGACGGTGCCGCTGTAGTCCGGGAAATTCTGTACAACTGTAACAACATTTGCGGTATTGAAAAATGTCTGCGCATGAGCGGCGATGAACATGAAGAGGGACATAACCGGGACGGGCGGGCGCGGGATGGTGCCGACGACGGCGAGCCATATGAAGAAATAGCCAATGAAGCACTGGAGGGCTCCGGCGAGGTGGACCAACCAGGGACCCCTGCGCGGGGAGCCGGAATTGCAGACGGCGGAGTAGAGGAGGCCGGAGAGAATGCCGGCGTTGGCGCCGATGTCCTTGAAGACGGATACGGTGTCAAGGGTGGATTGATCGTATTCCTGGGAGGATTTGAGGACAGGGGAGTAGATACCGAAGGCGTAGGATGCGCCGCAGCTGCACTGAATCCATATGCTCGCCACCGCCGCTATCCATTTGCTGCCGCTGCTACTGCGGTGGCGCTCCTCCATTTTCGCCGGAACTGACTTTTTTCTCGTCTCTTCTATTTGCAGTTTAAAAACTGAATGCACAAACAACCCGTACTTATCTACAAAGCAATCATTATTACGTGATTATCCAAAATTAATATATTATTTTAACTCATAAAACACATTATCATTCAAAATTTTATTATTCTAATATATAAAATGTATTATTTTACTCTAAAATGTCCATTAATCTAACACAAGAGTAAGAGATTTTTTAACATCAAAACAACTTCATTTAAAACTTACTTTGACCACATAATTATACAGATCATGATCCACAATAATTCAGACAATATGTGGCTTTTCAGTTTTCATTACAACGAATATTGTGTGGTTTGGTTTTATTTTATTTATTTATTTATAATAATTTATCACATTCAATCATTATTATAATCTTTGTCCAATTAATTTGTCATTTCAAATTATTTTAATATTTTATTTATAACCGAATTCGTGAACCATGTTTTATCTGGTCTGGCACTCTCCGTGATTCAATTATTTTAGACAGGAAGGTTGATCTTATGTTGAGCTGGAAAGATCTTTGACTTATTTTTTATTAATAATAATAATAATATAATAATAATAATAATATTTGTTTTCAAAAAATTCTAATATTTAAATCAATCAAAACCTTCCCGAGTTTCTGGAGGTTGCTTTATTCGGTTAATCTTCTCGGTTTTGTTTTATAAATTTTTAGTTTAATTTTAATTTTTATTGGGAATAAGTGTAAATTAAATTTTGATAATATCATAAGTCATAACACTTAAGAAATTTTAGTTCTTAATTAGGAAGTTAACTCGAACCGAAATGTCCATCCTACTAAAAAGTGCAATTATAAGATTGAGGTGTAAATATTAAAAGGCTGAGGTCTAAAGTGCGCCAATGAAGAAGTATAGGGAGCCAAGGTGTAAAGATGAGAGGGATAGGCTACAAACTAAAAGTGGAGAAAAAGTTTGGAGCCAAATTGCAATAAGATATAAGGTACACGGTGTCATAGTGCAAAGCATGAAAAATGGGAGTGCTTGAAGACTGTTTGACAAATGAGAGGAAAAAACAAAGTGAATTTTGATAGACAATATGGTGGAAGAGGGTTTTTCAGTTGACCCGATCAGCATCCTCGCGCTCAATTATGGATACTAAGAATTGTTCTTTACCATTACCAATTACTTGTTGGAAATAATGAACCAAAGTTGATTTAATATCACAAAATAATATTTATATATATACACGAAAATATATAAAAGATTATTCGATATGTATCCGAAATATATATATATATATATATATATATATATATATATATATATATATTGTTGGGTAATAAGGTGGGAAACCCAAAAATAATAATCTTACGAAAAGATTATTATTATATGGGAAAAGACAGAAAACTGGGAAGGAAAAGGTGGATGATATTGGATAGTGGTTGGCACGAGTTTGAACAAATCGTTCTTTTTATTAAAACCTTATTTGCTACCTCCCACAAGTTCTAGGGGCGTTGTAGCCTAGGTTTCCCAGGATAAAACGTGCTACGGTTCAACGTTTGAGCACCCAAACTTTGAACCCGGCGAACAAGAGCAAAGCTTAGAACACAGTAGGCAAAGAAGGAGTAGAAGCAGAGAGTTTTAAGAGCTGGAAAACTATGTTTTCTGTGTGTTGAAAATCTGCTGCTGCTACTACTTCTTATATAGTAGAGGATGGTGTAAATAGCATTTACTTAGGCATTCAAACCCATGTTCAAAATCTTTAAAACTGACCATTGAATATGAGGATTAATTCTGGAATTCAAAATTAGAATTAATTTGAAATTAATTCTGTAATAACTGAATTAATCTTCCCAACAGTCATCTGAACTGAACAATCGTAAACCGTTCCGAAACGGTAAACGTGTACCGTACCGGTCCGGTATACCGCACGACATATGTACCGCGTGCCGGTAGTGTGACAACCCAAAATTTAATTTTATAAATCCAATTTTTTAAAAATTTCAAAATAGCCATTTTCACCCCATTAAAAATTTTTTGAGATAAATTGGTGTTTGAATAAATTATTTTGAGTTACATTTTAAATTAATTCAACACCGGAACTTATTTTAATTCCAAAATCCTAAACTTTCGAGTACTTCGCGTACCAAGTTTTAAACTGAAAAACCAATCTAAGTGAGACCGGGAGAAATATGAGAAACCTGAACCAAGTGTTTGATTAGAAATCATCTTTGGAAAAATCTATTTTTACACCAAACTATTTAAAAATCACCTTTCTAGACTATGGTCCATGCTGCAAGGTGGACCAAAAGCCTTTCCTCCTTTGTCTGATATTTTTGAATCAACCAAAAGACAATTTTGCCATCCACCAATCATTGTTGAGTTTCCTAGGGTTTAGTGCCCCTATATATTAGAGAGACATCAGACCTTTGCCTCTTGATTCCAAACCTTGTCTTCCCCAAAGCTTTGCAAGAGAACCAAAAGAAAACACAGTAAGTTTCTTAGGTTTGATCTCATCCATTCATCCATTTTCCATCTAGCTTCCATCCCTTATCCTTCTATCTCTGAGGTTCTAGTTCTTAAGAGTTATTGCGTGGTTTGTTTGTGGAGTCGCGAACAACACTGCCCCCGCGGCGTATAGAGAGGAGAACGACAATGTATTATACGGAGAGAATGTTAAAAGACCATTTTACCCCTCTGTTTAACGTTCAATTAACCAGCTTGTAGCGGAAGGACCAATATTAGAAATATTTTGATAGTCAAGAGTCTAAATTGTCCAAATTAAAAGTCGAGGACCAATTATGAAAAATCACGATAGTCAGAGGACCAATACTGAAATTAACTATATATATATATATATATATATATATATATATATATATATATATATATATATATATATATATTCAACGAAGTGTTTGCACATAATTTCAAGAATAGAGAGAGTTTTCGAAGCAAAGAAAATAAGAATTTTGAGGTGTTGAAATTTCTTTTACGTTCTACTTAACATAAGGTGTTAAAAAGTTAAATTATATATAAAAGCTACTTAAAAGCCTTCACAAACACAATTTTTCACATCTCAATAAAAACACTTCGAGAATTAATTTATCGTTTACTCATTATTCATTTTAAGCATATAAGAGAATCTGAATATAATATATCAAATTAAAACTCTCAACCCAAATCAAAGATGAACCATGCTCAAAATGATTACTCAAAATAATCACTGTAAATACTATTTTAAACTAATTTTTCCAAGGCTACTACACAAACACACCTTAGTTCAGGCAGCATTTGGAACTTGAAAGGCTTAATAAGTTGCTCCGAACGTTAAAGGGCATTGCTCTTGAAAATGATGAAGACGTGGGGTACGGTGTATGTGTCGTCTCTGTATTCAATGGCTTGAGATATCTCTGTTGCGAAATCTCACCTAGGAATTGGCAGCAATGTCGCACGTATGTGCTATTTAATGTAGGCTGGATACGAGCTGAGCTAGAGAAGAATGGAATGGTATTATTATGTGACATGTTAACAAGAACACTGTATTAAAAGCATTTAACGACCAGGGTATTGTATTCTTCCTACTTGCAAACACAGACCGGTACGCAGAGCTTAGTCTTAAAAGAAGGAAGAAGAGAATGAATTGAGTATCTAGCAAAGAGGAGGGGGGGCTGTTTATATAGTAATGAGATATAACAGCCCCTTCCATTCCCGCCACAAAGACGCACGAAATAAGCGCAAAGGGAGAGCAAATCAAGGGCGCATTCAAGGCTATGAGAGGGTGTGCGGACTTGAGTATTTAATGATCTGTAAAAATAGGGAACAAAATTAATGTGGCAGACCAAAAGGTTGACCACATCACACCTCGCACGCGTCCGAGCGGGCGGCGGCGGCGCGCATGGTTCCCCTTTATTTCCTCTCCATAACTCTTCAAACCTCTTAGAAGGTATTAAGCCTTATAAAGGTGGAAAAGGGGAGTTCTACAAGCAATGTAGAACAACAAAAAAAGGTTTTTTAAATGTTTTCCCAACAATCTCTTCAAGGAATTTCTTATATATGGTCATATGTAACTAATACTCTAAAGAAATGTTTCTTAGACTATCAACATCATGCAATACCTTATTATATTACTCCGTATTATTTTTGTAAGCAACGAGAGAATTACGTAATCACTAATCGAGAGTGTACACGAGATAAACCTCACATTGTATTCCTAGTAGGCCAAAGATGACCACAATAAGTTAAATCAACCTAAATTATATATAACTGACCTACTCAAATCAAGAAGGCCAATAGATTACTTCTACTGGGGAGTCAATACCTTATTAATTTTAAAAGTATATGTTATTATCATATCATTATATTTGCAATTCGCGACTATTAGTGATGCATTAATACAATTTCAATCTATTTTCAAAATTGAATCCCCTTTCTAAAAAATATATTTAAAAAAAAAAAGATGACTAATTTGAGAAGACATTTATAAAGTTGCAATTGTTATTTGTTATGATTTTATAAATTATAATAATGTGGAAATTTAATCCAATGGGGAAGTTCATGTGGTAAATGAGTTTTCTTTATAAGAATAATTTTGAGATAATTCAAATTCAATTTTCACAAGTGATGATTCTCTCTAACCAGCTCTCGTACTTCTCGAAATAAGTAAAGATTAATCGGGTGGATTCAAATCATAAAATAGATGGAGAAAGACTCATAAACATCTCACTTGGTCATATGAATAAAGATTGAGAAAATGAAATCCACCCTAGTTGCATGCTGCATGAGTGAGTCAGCCTTAGCTCGAAAATCAGTGGTAGTGACTTTAATTTAGGCCCATCATCCTGGCTTGGCCTGCTCAATCTGACTTTAGACTTCATCTTATGGCAATTTATATCCTACACCACGGCGCGCGTTGCACTATGCGCCCAGATGCAAAACGATGTCGTTTTAATTTTTTTTTTTTTTTTTTTGAAATTTCCCGCCCCTGGCAGTAGTTTTTTCTTTAAAAAAAAAACCCGCTGTTCAAGAATGTACATAATGTTATACTAGAAT